GGCACCCCTCATTGTCCTCTCTCTGCAGCCCATTGTCTCCAGGAAAGGTCTTGCCCCTGAAGCGGGCACCAGCCAACATCCCTGTAACTCAGGCCTAGCCCACAGGGCAGTCCTCCCTCCTCTGCCCTGCAGCCCCCTGACTGCTTCTGGAGGGCTGAGGCCGCAGAGGTAGGCTGGACCTGGGCAGGCAGCAGGGCTGGGCGGTCACCATGGCTGGCGCTCCTCACACCGCTGATGTCTCTCCCCACAGACGAGCTGGAGCAGGTCCTGCAAGATGGGCAGAGGTGTGTGCGGGCTCGACGCAGCCTTGCTGAGGGCCTATCCTGGGGCCCATTCCACGGGAGCATCCAGAGCAGAGCCTCATCCCCCAGGCAGGCAGAACCGGTAAGGAACCCCAACCACGGCTAGCCCACCCTCTGGCCATAGGGCAGCAGCCAGGAAAGCATCCCACCCAGAGCACAGGCCCCTTACACTCCCTGAGCCAGTCCGGGAGCTCCCACCACTTCATGTGAAATACATCAGATGCGGGTGTTGGGACCAGGAAGGCTTCCTGGAGAGTTGAGAGACCAGAGCCCCCAAGGGACCTTGGGTGATGCAGGGAGGGCTTCCTGAAGGAAGGGTTTTTAAGGGTCCCTTCAGGGATGAGTAGAAGGTGGTGAGGCAGAGAAGGAGAAGGGCTTTCAAGAGGAGGAAGCAACAAGGAGCCAAGTGGTAGGGCTGGACCCTGTGTGTGGCTGTGTGGCTGGGAGGAAGTCAGGGACTTTATGGGCAGGGGCCCTCCTGGTGGTAAGCCAAGTGGTTTTCTGGGCACTTGGGGACAACTGCAGCAGGAAGCAAGAGATTCATTCTGGTTTTGTCCCTGTGGGTCCTTCTGAGGACAAGGAGAGGGCATCTGTGGTGCCTGAGTGTCACAGCACCTCTTCAGCACTTGCTAATCTCCCTCTTTAACTAAGAATCCCCGCCTGGGAAGCACCCTCCCCCTAGATGAGAAAAGCACCAGGGTAGCTGGGCAGGGCAAAGGAGAAGTGATCCACAAGTGCCTACCACAGGGCAGGGCTCAGTGGGCACTAGAGCCAGCAGCCCTGCAGCAGGGATGATCCTCTTGTCCTCTGGCCCCAAGCTAGGAGGAAACGGCGGAAACTCCAGGATGGATTTCGGCTTTGTGGAAGGGGCCTGATTGGGCTCCACATGGGATGGAGCCTATGGTGTTTAGAGCAGTAGCTGCAGGCAATGAGCTTCCTGTCACTGGAGGCATTCAAGCAGCAGCTGACTCTTCAGAGGTTAGTCCGCTGGGAGGCAGTTAATAGTTGGAAGGAGGAGGGGGTGGGCTGGGAGCTCTGTAGCTCTGGTCTCTGAACTCTCAAAGTGTAAAGAAAACCTATGAGCAGTGACAGGACAAAGGCAGGGTGGCTGAGGGCTTGGGGTCTCAGCATGTTCTGAGTGGAGTCTGCACCCATCTCCTGTGCTCCCTCCTGGGGATAATCAGCCCTTTCCAAGGTGGACAGGTGTGTGTTCCAAACTCTCTGCCCACACGGTGCTGTGTGCCCATGCTTACACACAACACCTCCTTTCCTCCCCCTCCCACCCTGTGAGGCAGGACTGCTGCCCCTGTTCTACAGATGAGGAAACGGGTTAAGTGACTTGCCAAAGCCATCCAAATCAAACAGCAGAGGGAGAATTGGAACCAATGTCTGCCCAACCCCAGAGACCCCTGCAGGCTCCATAAGGACAGGGCTGAGGAGTCCGGAGACCGCCCTCCCCTCTCACCTGCAGCTCCTCTCTGGAAGTTTTGTCCTCCTGGGGCCTGGGGCACAGGTCAGCCTGGGGAGACTTGGCACGAGGCTGGAAACGCTCTCCAGGCAGAGATAATGTCCGAGGGGAGTGAGGGTGCGAGCACTGGAGAAGCCAGCAACCTTTGAGGCTCTTGCGGAGGAGCCCAGGGAGGAAGGAGCCTGCCTGCTCTTCCCTGCAGCTTTATCTCCCGCAGAATTAAATCCCTGATTAACCCTTATCTCCCCAGGAGGCGCTATCTCTGCCTTGGCGCCGAGTGTCCAGACGCAACGTACAAGATGATTGATTTCTTAAAGATATGAGAGCCTTTCTGATACTTCATTTATTGTCTAAATATTTTTGCTAACGTTTCAGTGGGCCCCTTATCGAGCTCAGCTGATGGGTCCCAGTTCTCTCCTCCAAGCACCTCCTGCCCCAAATCATCCTATCAGCCGCCTGGCGGTATTCACTCTTTCAAGAGGGGGGAGGGAGAGGGGCGCTGAAGGGGTGTATTGGCCCTTTCCTGCTGGGGGTGCAGGCCGGAGAGGGGATAAGGTGGCTGGACTCTGGGAGCGAGAGCTTTAGGAAGGACACAGAGGGCACAGAGCCTGGCAGGGGATTAAGAGTTGGTTCTGGCACCAACCTGCTGTGTTAACTCGGGCAGGTCCTTCCCTGATCCAGCAGCAGTTTCCACTGTTGAAAACGAGGGCTTGGAGGCCCAGCCAGCTCTAAAATTTGCAGTCAGTACAAGAGAAATGTTCAGGATGGATGGTGGATGGATGGGTAGATAAATGCATGACAGATAGATGGATGGGTGGATAAATGAATGAATGAATGAATGAATGGGCAAATGAATGAACAAACTTTCACCACCAGCTTGGTCCACGCTTGCTTGGCCCATCTGTGTCCAGGGCTCACTCACTTTAGCCATTAGACCATCACAACATCAGTGAGACCTGGGAGGGACCCCATGGCGGCCAAGCAGGGCAACAGGTTCACTGGGGAAAGACCCTGCCTGAGAGGTTGAAGTGAGACCCCCTGGGCCCTGACCTACCATGTAGCCCCAGGTGTCTTTGCCCCAGATCAGTGTAGAGGGTGGGCCTCCTTGGTCCTTCACCTGGAGATGGAGGTGGGGCTAGAGCCCTTGGCTCTGAGCAGCTTTCCATGCAGGAAGCCTCAAAGGCTGGCATCAGGGGTCACTGCCATGGCAGAGCCAAACCTCATGACAGCAAGCTCTGGCCAGAAGCCTGGGGGCGGGGGGTGCTGAGGCAGGGTGCCTGGGTACACTCCTGGTAATGCCCCTCTCTCCCTCTTTGATTCTCATTGACATTTGTTTGTAATAAGGAAGAATGCCCCCTGCCCATCTCTGCACTGCTTTCCCCTGATGTCTGGGACACCCAACCTGGGTGTGGGGTGCTGTGAGCTCTTTACCCAGGTGGGGAGGCACTGCAAGCTGCCCTGCATCCTGCTTAGTGCACCTGCTGAAACGTTTCCCAGCATTCCACGTCAGGGCAGCTTTTTCCCCACGCGCCAGGTGCTGCTGGCTGCAGCTGTCCAGCCTCCATGTTCCCACCTGGACATGTTGTGGCACACCCTGACAGCAGGCGGTTCCGACCCACTAAGATCTGGGCACAGCAAGGCAGCACCGGAGCTGGCCTGCCAGCTATGCCTGCCCAACGTCCCTGCCCCACCACTGCCTCCTCACTTGCCAGCCCGTGGGCCTGTCCATGCCTCTGCTGCTCCCGGGGACCTCTTCCAGCCATCGCAGCCCATTGTCCTCTGCTCAGTATACCCAGCAGTCCATGGGACCTCACAGGAAATGCCCTGTGGCTCTGCTGCTCCCTTCCCCTTCCCACATTACTGAAGGGTAGCCTGGCCCAGACCTGGGGTGCCAACAGGTCACTAGGACCATGATGGTCAGGCCCTGGACGAGAGCTTTACCCTGGCACTGTTAACTCACCTTGGCCATGAGGCGGTTCAGAGAGGACCCCAGAATGTAAGAGTTTCCCATGGCTGCTGTAACAAAGTGCCACAATCTGGTGTCTTAAGCGAATTATATTCTCTCCTAGTTCTGAGGCCAGGGGGTGGCAGGGCTGGTTTCTTCTGGGTCTCGGAGGAAGGATGCATTCCAGGCCTCTCCTCAGCTTCTGGTGGCTGCTGGTGGTCCTTGGGGTTCCTTGGCTCGGAGATGTATCAGTCCCACCTCTGCCTCTTCTCTCCCTGTCATTGGATTTAAGACCCACGTGGATAACCCAGGATGATTTCACCTGGCTTTCCTTAATTTAATCACATCTGCCAAGACCCTTTTTCCAAACAAGGTCACATTTGGGCTCTGGGTGGCTCTTGGGGGCCACATCCAGCCGGCTCCACAGAGCCAACAGTCAGCAGAGCGAGGGCCCAGCCAGGTTGGCCCCTGGCTCTGCATAGGACAGCCCCGAGGGGATGCTCAGGTCTGGGCTTGGCTGGAACACCGGGGCAGGGAAGAGGGCATTGTGGGGTGTCCTGGAGACAAGGTCCAGACAGGAGACCTGCTGCTGGTTTTCCTAGGTCCCTGGCACCCTTCCTCTCCATGCCTCAGCTTCCCTACCTGCAGTTGTGGGAGCTGGGAAAGTGCCACAGGGTATGGGAAGTGCTGTCAGCAAGAAGGGGCTCCAGCTACAGAGTCAACCCAGACTGGCCTGCAGGGGATCCAGGAGGAGGACTCAGCTGGTGTCAAAGACCCGGGACCCCTCCCACCACACCAGAAAGACTATTGTCCCCTCCCCTATTGTCTGCCTCCTCCAAGGCCCATTCCCACTGATGCCCACACAGTGCTCCTCCTCACCCCTCCAGGCCTCACCCCACTGTCCTGGCTACAGCTGCCCATACCCAGCTCCTGTCCCACCAGGCCTCAGCCCTTCTCAGCCTTGTTCCGTTTCTCCAGCACTTTCCCTTCCAGCCTCCACAGCTTCTTTCTTGCTGGCCTTTCCACTCCATCATCCTGCCAAGACATCAGGGACTGCATGTTCTGTTCATGGTGCCCCTGCACCTGGCGCAAAGCATGCCCTCATTCATTCGGGACTATTTGCCAAATGAATGAATGAATGAAAAAGCTGCAGTGATTCAATGGAGATCATGCATACCTGGGTTATAATCCTATGTGCAGCAGCCGCCACCACCACCACCACCCTTCCCATGGCCTTGGGTGCCATTAACCTCTGTGGGCCTTAGTCTCCACTCCTGTGAAATGGGTTCTTCACAGGGTCTGGGGAGACAAAGGGGCCTGAGGACGGAAAGGCCATTGCCTCTGGCAAGGTGAGCTGGGGACATGGGCGGGGCTTCTCAGGATGGGTTGATGGACTGAGGACTGAAGTTGGGGGAGCCCAGTCAGAGCCCACCCTGGCCTGCTCCAGTTCTGCCCTCTCAGGAACCTGCCTGTGGTAACCTGGGGGAGGGCCAGTGGCCCCGCTGACCTTCTGCAGGGCTGTCTGCTCCCTGTGCCAGGCCACCCTCCCCCAGAACAGGGCCCCCACCTCACCCTCCATGCGGCTTCATGAGAAGCACTGCGAGGTTTGGGAACAGCCTCAGATAAAGTTGTCACAGCGGATGCGGCGGAGATAGGGTTTCTGATGGTTATCGGTGGGCACAGAATCCAGACACTGACCTCTTTGTTGGGGAAACAAGGAGTGTTCTCAGATGCACCCAGAGAATTTAAAGTGGCCACCCGTTATCCTGGGCTGGGTGGGGCCGCCCTGGAGCCAGGAGGGAGGAGCGGGGGCAACCCTGCGGGGCTGTAGGCAGGGCAGGCAGGGCTTCTCGCTGGCTCCTGGCGGGGCTGAGAGCGAGCTAGACCCAGACTGGGCACCCAGCCTGCGGGCACCCATGGAGGAAAAACAGCTGGTGGTACACACGACTCTGTTAGTTTGGGCTGGAGGGCCAGGGGAAGTTGTGACCAGTCCCCTCCAAGCTTGCTCCCCCTGCCCACAAGGCAAGGCAGGCTAGGAAGGAGGCCTGTCTCTACCCAGCGCCTTCATCACCAGAGAAAAGGGCTTCTGTTCCGAGGCTGCTCGAATTGGGGAGAATATAGTAGGGAAAAGGGAAAGAAAATAAAGGGGCAGCCCATGTTATGTCAGCCCCTCCACAGGGCGAGTGGACTGAAATTTGCCCCTCACCCGGGGCTCAGTGTGCTCCTGGGGGCAGGGAGGTGGCCTTCAGGCTGCAGCCAGCAGACATGGGGGTCCAGCTGCCTGGCACAGGGCTAGGGACTGGCTCAGGGCTGCCTGGGGGTGTGGGGGGTGGGATAAGGGCAGGCTGGGCAAGGCCATGCTACACTCTCCAAGAACCAGGGGTCCCTGCACCCCTAGGAGCCAAGTGCCACTCAGGTGTTTGGGCCCCACCCTTTTCCAGCCTTCCCCTGTTCATGGTGCCCCTGCACCTGGCACAAAGCATGCCCTCATTCATTCGGGACTATTTGCCGAATAACACCAGCCCACCTTGGTGTTAAGGGGTGAGGGAATGTGGGGGTGAAAGTCAGTCAGAAAGCTCTGGATCTCCTGACCCATCTCCTCCTGGGAGTCAGGTGTAGGGTCTGGGACAGAGCCCCCTTTAGGCCCCTGCATTCCCTCCCTCCTCACTTGCCCTCACAGATAGGGGCTGTCACCTAGCCCAGCCAGGGCAGCCACCAAGCGCAGGTGCTCAGTACCCACTGGGACACAGAGATGGGCTGCTCTGGGCAGAAGGCACAATGCTGGCCGGGGACATGGCGCCACTGCCGTCCGTCCATCAGCTTAGAACGTACACGGAAAATTAGGGGTTCTGCAGCGTCAGCAAAGCTGAGCGCGGGGGTTTTTATCATGCTGCGAACACGCGCTCCTGAGAGTGATAAGCATTAAACCGACCGGGAGGCTGTCAGTCTCAGTGTGAGGGTTTAGAAATATTGGGACGAATAATTAGATTTCATATCGTTACCGCAGCACCCATCGGAGGATCAGGCAGATTAATTTTTTTTCACCCTCCTCTACTCATTAATATTCATTAGAGACTCAAGGAGACCCAGCCTCTGCTTTGCTGCTGGTTCACCCACCGCTGTGCCAGCACCCCCCATCCATTCTACTTTGCCCTAGGCCTAACCCCCTGCTGTAGCCCCAGTAGACGTCCCAGCCAGCAGGGACCCCTAGCTGGCACCCAGCTCCCACCCCTGCTCTGCAGTGTCAGAATCACCAGGTGTCAAAAGGAGGGAGCTGCTGGCCACCAGCCTGCGTGAAAGGAGGCTCGTTGGTAGAGATGCCCACCCCAACTTGACATTTAGCAATTGCCGGGCCGGTGCCCCAGTGGACACCAGGCTCCTGGCCCCAGAGGCACAGCTCCTACTTCGTGTGTCCTATTGGCCAACAGGAATGCAAAAGCAAGGGTGTTGGTGGTAGGGGCTTGTTTGCCATGTGCGGGTCACATACCAGACAGGTGCTGTTCCAAAGGAGGGCTTCACACAGATTGCTTCTTCCCAATGCCCTAGGGCCGTGGTCGGCAAACTCATTTGTCAACAGAGCCAAATATCAACAGTACAACGATTGAAATTTCTTTTGAAAGCCAAATTTTTAAAACTTAAACTATATAGGTACATTGTTATTAACTTAATTAGGGTACTCCTAAGGCTTAGGAAGAGCCACACTCAAGGGGCCAAAGAGCCGCATGTGGCTCGCGAGCCGCAGTTTGCCAACCATGGCCCTAGGGGAAACTGAGTCACAGAGTCATGAATGAGACATGCCCTGCAGGCAGGTGGCAGGGCAAGGATGGGTCCAGAGAGAGCAAGAAGACTCAGGCCACAGTCCGATCAGGAGGGGCATCACCCATTTGCAGAGAGATGCCAAGACTCAGGGAGGGCTTCGTGGTACTGGGACAGGTGGAGCTCTCCCTGACCCACTGGCCAGCTGTTCTCTGCTCACCTGTTCCATGACCAGGGTGCTCCGACCTGGCTGGGAGTTCTTACCGGGAGTGCCCGGCACACCGGCCTGATCTCGCAGGGTCCCTGAGTCTGCCACAGGGTGGGGAGAAGATGCAGAGGTAGTCAAAGGGGCGATGCCCTGCCCAAGGTCACAGTGGGAAGGTCAAGCCTGGACTGGATCCCAATGCCCAGCTCTGGAGCCCCTGTGGTCCCCACAGCCAAAGCCCAGGAGAGTGGCGTGGGCTCAGACCTGGCGTGGAGGTGTCCAGAATCCATCAGAGGACATCCCACACACCATGTCCTGCCCTGGGCATCCCACCATGGCAGCTTCCCCACCAACTGCCATGTGCACAAAACCACTGCCATTTCGATGGTGGCATTTTCAGGTGACAGCAAGTGACACTGATTCCTTAGTCAAAGGTCCTGATGCTCAGACCTTTCTAAGTAAAAGGCATTTATTTGCATAAAACAAAAAGTGCCCAAATGTTGACATGTGACATAACTTTCCATATGGGACTCAGTTGCTAAGCTTGGGGACCCCCAGGAAGAGGATCCCAGAACCGGGGTCCAGTGCTGGGGCTGAGGCCCAAGAGGCAGCAGCGGTCACACCCACTTCTTTTTTTAAAAAATATATATTCTATTGGTTTTTTACAGAGAGGAAGGAAGAGGGAGAGTTTGAAACATTGATGAGAGAGAAACATCGATCAGCTGCCTCCTGCACACCTCCTACTGGGGATGTGCCGCAACCAAGGTACATGCCCTTGACGGGAATCAAACCTGGGACCTTTCAGTCCGCCGGCTGACGCTCGATATCCACTGAGCGAAACCGGTTAGGGCTCACCCCCACTTCTTCAGGCAAAAAGGGCCACGGTTCTGCCCTGCCCACCAGCCAGCCATGGATCTGCACCCCAACCCCATGTGTAACCAAGAGCTGGGCCACAGAGTGGGGCTGCAGGCGGCCGATCCCTGGCCAGCCGTTTCCAGGCACAGGCTGCACTGGGACAGGGGACACGTGTTTCCTCTCCTTAGCTGGGCTCCGGAAATCAGGCCACCCCCTCCGAAGCCCCACGGACAGCAGCCTTGAGAGCCTAATCCAGAACTCTTTCCTTCCGGATACTGCAAAAGCCAGCTTGCAGACCCAGCCAGGAGGGAGAACACTGCTGGACAAGAGGCTGGCGTGACCTGCCCCTCCCCTCCCCCTTCCTTAAGCCTCACTTTCCTCCCTGTGAGACGGGAGAAGGACGCAGCCTGCTCTCCAAGCTGGCCCAAGGCTGGGTGGGCAAGGGGCCGTTCTCGGGAGCCATGTGGAGGGGGCCAGGGACTGAGCCAGGCTCAGCATGGGGACATTGTACTACTTGGGGACCTCCGTGAGTGGCTGAGCCCAGGAAGGTGTTCTTTGAGTGTCTGCCATGTTCTGGCCCCAAGATGGTCTGAACAAAAGTGGGCCTACCCTGCCTTGCAATGGATAGGGAACCCCACTGTCTGGGAGGACACAGAAGCCCCTCTCCTGGGGGCCTGCCATCTCCTCAGGACCCATCTCTGCCTCTCCCCATCGAGGCCCTGGGGGCCCGTGTGGGAGGAACCTATGCCTGGCGCAACCCCATGCACCCGTGGATTTCGCGAAAACCCAGCAGCCTGCTAAGATGGGGATGGGGGTGGTAAGGAGAGAACACAGGTCTGTGTGTGAATTCCCTCTGTCACTGGCTGGCTGTGTGACCTTGGATATGTTGCTTGATCTCTCTGGACCTCAGTTTCCAAGAGAACCCAGCTCCTGAGCTCTGAAAGGTGTCACTAGCACAGCATGTGACAGGGAACAGGCCCACAGCCTGGTCTAGCCATCCTACCAGGTGGTCTCTTGGGCTTCCCCGCGTGTGCCCCGTGGAGAACCGCTAGCTGGGCTCTTCCCATTCTCTGTCCGTGCTGACCCCCTCCTTTCTGCCCCTCAGAGCCCGGCCCTGACCCTGCTGCTGGAGGACGAAGCCTGCTGGCTGAAGACACTGCCCCGGGCCCTGACGGAGGCTGAGGCCAATGTGGAGATCCACAGGAAGGGTTGGTATCTGGCGCTTCCCTCTCTGCCTTCCGGAAGGTGGAGGTCCTCTCCCAAGGCCGGCTCTTAAAGGGAAACCAGCCTGCTCTGGGCCGGGCCAAGGGACTGGCCAACACACCCCTAGCACCCGATTAATGCCCACCTGGGGTCGCACAGATGTCTGCCCTGGAATGGGGGAGCAGGGTCTCAGGAAGCCAGGACCGCTCTCAGGGCTCAGGGATACCTCCAGGGCAGCGGAGGAGCCCAGGCCAGGGACCCGGCAACAGGTGCCAACTGGACCTGCCTGTGCATTTGGGCCACTCCTGCCTCCCTGCACCTTCTGGAGGGAGGGTTCCTGGAGGCAGAGCCTGGGTGGGGAGGAGGGAGAACAAGATGGGGTCCTTGCCCCCCTCACCTTCTCAATTCAGAGTCCAGGCCAGGCAGATGCAGGGGCTCCCATCTCCATCACCACAGCCCTGCTGCCCTGAGTGGTCTTATTCCTGAGGAAGGTGTGGCGTGGCTTCCAGTGTGTGAGGGTCAGGGTGGTGTGGACCCTGCCCCCCTCCCCATTACAAATGAGGCTCAGGCCCCAGGGGAGGATGTGGAGACATCCTCGTGATTTCTACAGACAAGAGGGCTGTTTGCCATGTGACCAGCCAGGAGGGCTGTGCACCTACTGACCGCAGGAAACATACCTCATTCCCCATTTTGCTAAAATGTTCTGGGGGGTGTCACCCTCACCACCACCTCCTGAGCACACAACACATTTGGCTGAACACCCCGTGGAGGCAGAGCTCCGTCCTGAGGGTGGCTTTGACTTCCAGACAGAGCCAAAGGCCACTGGAGATAAGCAACAGTCCTGTGACCAGCTCCTCGGCCCAGCCCCTACCCACCTGGAGGCTGCCAGGGCCTGGCAGGGGTGCAGAACGGATGCTGGGCTCAGCATCTGGGGACCTGGGCTTTCCATCCTGCCCTGCAGTCAACCATGCACCTGGTCCCAACGCTTCACCCTCTGTACCTCAGTTTCCCCATCCACGGGGGTGGGGGGGGTTGGCCCCTCCTCCCCACCAAGGGGTACTCCAAGGACCCAGAAAGCAGCTAGCGGAGAGGGCTGGGTCTTGGCAGTGAGTAGTCAGCTATGAGATTATACACCCAGCCAGGAGATGGGTCAGTTAGCACGACTTGGCCCACCCTTCTTCCTAGCCTGGTCAGCAGGGCTCCAGCCACCTGTGTCTGTCCAGGCAGGACAAGGGTCCTTGCAGCTAGTAGCCTTGTGCTGGACACTGGAGGTGGATTATTGGGCAGCTCGCCAGGGTCCTGTTGGATAAGGCTGCCCCCTGCAGGCCACCTTGAGAACAGTGCACCAGCAGAGTTGAATGGAGCAGGCTTGCCAGTCCAGGGCCTGGCCCAGTGGCTACCCAGGCGCTCTGCCACCTGTCCTCCATGCCACCCCGCTCCTGGAAAACAGAGAAGCTCCGCTGACTCCCTCAATTTCCACTCAATGGGTTCAGCTCAGGGCAAGGAAGCCCAAGGAACGCTAGGGTAGGCCTGGGGGACCAACCCAGCTGCCCCACAGATGCAGGACTTGTGGAAACCAACCAGCCACAGCTGTGCACCAGGCCTGGTCACTCCCTAACTGTGGCCTTGGCTCCATCCCCCATCCTGGGCTTCAAAACTCTGGTCTCTCAGATGAGGTGCTCGAGAAGATAAGAGGGGAGTCTTTGCAGAGCTGCTGTGGTGGGCCTGGAGCTGCTGGTCCTCCCATCACCGTGCCCTTACCCCTGCAGATGGAGCCCTCTGGTGCAGGCTCACCAAGCCAGTGCCAGCAGGGGGACTGCTGAGCGTGCTCCTCACAGCCGAGCCCCACAGCACCCCCAACCACCCTGTGAAGAAGGAGCCTGCAGAGCCCGAGGGCCTGGCTCCCTCACACACTGACATCCAGCTCCTGCCCCAGCAAGCTGGCATGGCATCCATCCTGGCCACAGCCGTCATCAACAGTGAGTACCACCCTCGGGCCACCCCGGGGGCCTGGGAGGACCAGCACAGTCCCCAGGCGCAGGGCTGCAGGTGGTACCGAGGAGCTCAAGATCTACAAGATCTGTGACCACGGGATCAGAACAGAGGAGGAAGTGTGCTGCAGGAGACATGCACGGGGAACTTGAAAGAGGGGTTCCAGGAGGGGGAGGGGCTCCAGGCTGCAGCGAGTTCATGAGAGCAACAAGGTTGGCTCATGAATAGTGATGGGGCAGCCCTGAGCAGGCTGCAGGGAGGCAGGGCAGCAGCATGCAACTAGCTAGGGCACAGAGGCAGCAGGGTCCCCAGGGCCCGGGTCATACATTGGAAAGATCCAGTAAACAAGCACAAACCTGAGTCTGTGCCTCCCTCTTTGAAGCAGAGCAGGTTTCTGTTTCTCAGCCTTTGCTGGCATGTGGGCCACCCCTGGCCCGGCCCACTAAACACTGGTACTGCCCCCCTTCTCAGCACACACTAAGCCTCGGAGAGTTGTTGTGCGAGTTAAGTGGGATTCACACATTCCACAAATACTTGTTTAATATCCACACTGAACTAAGAGGTGGAGGCACCAGGATCACCGAGGCAGGGCGCTGGCCACGCCTGAAAGGACCCATAGACCAGAGAGGTGACCTTACTTGGAGGTGGTGGCAGCAGTGGAGGGTACGTCCCAGGAAGGAAAGCAATGACGTGGTCAGACAGTAGCAGGGCTACTTTTGTGGGGTGCTGGGAAAGTTGCTCGGACATGAGAGCAGTCAGGTTTGGACCTGCATACCGGGAAAGAGCAGCTGAGTGGTCACCCACCAAGGCCCAGGAGGTGGTCACTGTGGTTGGAGCCAGGCAGTGCGGCAAGCGCAAACTGGGCAGATCTGAGGGTGGTTCCAGGCAAGAATGGGATTTCTTCTCAGAGCAAGGAGACCGCTCTAGAGGCTTTAAACAGTAAAGGTTGTGATCCAATCTGGTTTTAAAATCACCATGGCTGCTGGGTGGTAACTGTGAGGTTGCAAAATTGTAAGAGGAAGCTTTTTGAGCAAGTCAAAGGTCATTGGATGCAAGTGGATGCAGCTAAGGCATAGCCTGATGGGACATTGGAGTCCACAGGGACCAGCCGGCTAGTTGGGTGGGTGAGGAGGCGGCAGCAATCAGGAGGCCAGGAACTTCGGTGTGGCTGGCTCGGTGGATGTTGGTCTGCACCTTTGTTGGCTGGAGAGTCAGTGAGGAGAGCTCTGCTGAGCATGCTGACCTCTAATTGGCTGGGAGACGTCTGCTAGGGCTCAGGGCACAGTCAGAGCTCCACAAGCTCCCTGGGCAGGATGAGACTCCCAGGGAGAGATGTCCACCAAAGGAGGTGGTATCTGCTATGTCCAATTGTTTTTGTTGGTTTTTTTAATTATTGATTTTGAGAGAGAGGAAGGGGGAGAATCAATTTATTGTTCCACTTATTTATGCATGCATTGGTTGATTTTTGTATGTGCCCTGACCAGGGATTGAACCCACAACGCTGGCTTATGGCTCTAACCAACAGAGCTGGCCAGGGCCCCAGTTTAATTCTTGAGACTCCACCACTCTGGGAAGTTTCTCACCTGTTAAGTGGGGATAATGGTAATACCAGCTCGAGGTGTTTGTGCAAGTTACTTGGGCTGTGCCCACCCAGGACTTGACCATTGGTCAGCCCACCTGTGGTCAGTCCTGGGTCACTGTGGCTTGAGCTGGCCTCCAGCGCGCTGACCCCTCTCTTGACTCTGAGGCCAGCAGCACAGTCCCCAGCGCTGACCTTGCAAATACATTTTTAAAAAAACACTGGTGGCCTCAGGTTCCCATTTCAGGTTAAGGCCTCAGCTGATACAGAACAGAGCTGCCTTGAGCCCCCAAATAAAAGGGAACTTGAAAAGCAGAGTAAACAGTAGAAAGGGAACAGAAGCAGAAAAACTGCAAGTAGGGGGCACGAGGGTGGCCACCTCGCCCAGGCAGGTACTAAATTCCTTAAGAGAAGTGGAGAAAATGGGAAACCTGGCAGCCTCCTGGGTGGGGGAGGAGCACCTGTGCAACAGTTATGGGCCCAGGACAAACATCGGAGAAGCCAGGCTGAGAAACACATCCTAACCTGCAGAAGTAGAAACCAGATGATAAGGAACCCCAGGTCCTTCATCCCTCCTCTAAATCAAGGTGCAGAACAAGCCCTCCCCTGACCATCTTCAGCCAAGAGGCAGCTGGCCACAGAGCGGGGGCAGACAAACAGAACATTCCTTTAAATTCTGCTATAAAAACACACTGAGAACCAGAGAACGGGTGAAGCAGCCATCAGAGAAATCTTCACCTGCTGGAAAAATCAGCCCTGCGATCCAAACTCCTATAAACTGAAAAATTAAAGGCAGCTTATTTGTCGTCAGTTTGGTGGATTCAACTGTGACCATTCAGTCAGTACCTGATGTGGAACCATCCACCTGTATGGGGGGTAACACAGGGACAGAAAGGGCTCCTCTTCCTTGCAGCTCCTGGCTTCACCTCCTGCCCACCCCCACCCCAGAAGCCACCCAGAGCCATGTTCAACTCTCATCCTGGTGCCTGAGTGCAGGGGATTCGTGCACCTGGTCCCTGTGTGCCTGGCCACTCACACACCTGTTCACATGCACACCTGTTTCATCCTCCACAAGCACCAGGGTCCACACCATCCCTCACAGCCCCCTTGCCAACACAAATGCACCAGCACACACTTGCCCACCTTCCTCACCTGTACATGGTCACCCCCACTGAATAACTGACACAACCCCGTCCTGGACCCGTCTCACTCCTGCAGGTGTCCACTAGCATGCCCATGCTCCTCCCATGAACACCCCATGAGGCCACAGCATCTCCTTATGGGGTTCACTGTTGGAAGGCAGCCTGGAGGGCATCCTGGGTTATAAAAGGACAGATAAGAAAGGGCAGCTGTGATGGGAGGAGGAAGCACCTACTGCTTAAAGCAGGAAGACGCCAGAGGCAGCCAGGGCAGAGCCCTCACGTTGCAGAGTCCACTGCCTGGCCCTGGGTTGCAGGCGGCCCCTTTTGCTTCTGGAATGTCCCCTCAGGCTTCACCCACCTCTTGCCCCACAGAAGATGTCTTCCCCTGCAAGGACTGTGGCATCTGGTACCGCAGTGAGCGGAACCTGCAAGCTCACCTCCTGTACTACTGTGCCAGCCGCCAGAGTGCCGGCTCCCCTGCCGCAGCCGCCGCTGACGAGAAGCCCAAGGAGCCATACCCCAACGAGCGTGTCTGCCCCTTCCCTCAGTGCCGCAAAAGCTGCCCCAGTGCCAGCTCCCTGGAGATCCACATGCGCAGCCACAGCGGTGAGGCTCCACGCCCCCTCAGGACCCCCGCCTGCTTGCTGATAGCGGGCCCACTGCGCCCAGGCGACAGATGTGCCTGTGTGGTCCTCCCACCATACCACACAGCCTCCCACAGCTCCCAGGGCATGAGGCCCCTCTGTGGCTGTCTGGATGGTCAGCTTGGGGCTGGGCCCGGGCCGGGGTCCTGGGAGGCTTGAAGAGCCCTCCACACACAGCCCACGTCACGGCCCCTCACTGGGCCCTGTGTTCCAGGCGAGCGCCCCTTCGTGTGTCTCATCTGCCTGTCGGCCTTCACCACCAAGGCCAACTGCGAGCGGCACCTCAAGGTGCACACAGACACACAGAGCGGTAAGCAGGCTGGGAAGGGGGCAGGAGGCGGGTCAGGGGGTGTCTGTGGAGCCCACTGGCTCCAGGGCCCTGACACCACAGACCATCTGCAGGTGTCTGCCACAGCTGTGGCTTCATCTCCACCACAAGGGACATCCTCTACAGCCACCTGGTAACCAACCACATGGTCTGCCAGCCAGGCTCTAAGGCTGAGATCTACTCGCCAGGAGTCGGGCACCCCTCGGCCAAGCTACCCCCAGGTGAGCCCCAGGGGCCCCCTCTGAGGGCTGGGAGGGGGCTAGTCCATGAGACACGAGAGGGTCAATTTGGTCTTGGCCCTCGACCACCTCTGCCCAGCCCAGCCCAGCTCTCCCTTCCCACCCTGCCCCTTCCTCAGGTCTGGCCCAGGCAGGTCCTGCTCCAGCCCTGAAGTCTGGCCCCTGGGGTCTCCCTGCAGACAGTCTACCCGGCTTTCAGCAGCTCACTGCCCTGCACGGCCCCCTGGCCTCCTCCGACCTGGGCCTGGGGTCCACCTCATCACCAGGACTGGACAGGAAAGCCCTGGGCGAGGCCACCAATGGAGAGGCCAGAACGGCCCCCCAGAACGGGGGCAGCAGCGAGCCCCCAGCAGCGCCCAGGAGCATCAAGGTGGAGGCGGCCGAGGAGCCCGAGGCGGAGCCAGGGCCCCCAGCCCCTTCCTCGG